AGTTCTCCCCCCACATGCCATATTCTCTAGATATGGCACCATCAGATTACCATATTTTCGTTCTTAATGAGAAAACGTATGCAAATGCAGAAGGTGTTAAAGAGAACATCGCATGTTTTTTGCTTCAAAGCCAAGTGATTTCTTTAATCAGGGCATTAACAACCTGATTATAAGATGGAAAAGCATTATCGATAAGAATGGAGACTATTTCATTTAATAAATGTTTTGTTTTGATATATAAGTTGTTCGGATTTTTCATCTAAAAAAACCGACATTAATTTTTTGACGACCTAATACTTAGTGTTAATTCAGGCTTACACTTGAAACTTTTGTTGGCTCTTCTTAGTTAAATTATTTCCTTAAAACACATGCAGTTCCATTTGGAATTACTGCCAATTTATCACAGGCACTGCCTACAAATACTCCACGTTTTTTACCTTTTGATTTTCGGACATTTTTACTTTAGAATCACCTTTAACTATTTCTTGAAACTTGTAATCTTCGTAATTTTATAACCGTTTCCTACAACGATACTCTAAAATCATTTTTAATTGACTCAGTTTGAAGTCAGATTGTCATCTTTTCTATTCCCAATACGTTGGTCATTTTACATACTATTTTATGTAAACGTTGCCGATGTTTCTAGTTTCAGTTTACTTAATAATATAGTTTTCTTTCACTTAAACTATTTCTTACTCTGTCTTGAACTTTCAAAAAGTTACTGATGTAAAAAACATTTGTCCACCAGTTTTTCTTGCAACTTTTGACCAAAGGATCAATGTTTTCTTTCCAAACCGGACCACTCCCAAGATCTTCTATTAGCCAGATGCATCCGGAAATTATGACAAAGGTCGGTGTCAGTCTAAAAAAGAAAGATTGGAATTATGCAGAGCTAGGAATTCTGGAGACTATTACTGCATCAGAAATATTGAGCATCTCAACTGATTCGTTCTGCATTTTGGTGAAGTTTAATATGCGACACACAACATTAGAGAAACCAAAGTAAGTTATATTGGTCTGGCGTGGATTTGTGGTTAGTGTGTGCTGTTCGTGTACTGTTGGTGCAAAATGGCGCTCTGCACTTTGGGGATGTGGGTGCGTTATATAAGTGACGGTCAATTCCCACTATTTGATTAAAATATCCCAAGTGTTGGCTAGCTGAGTTCTCTTTAGTGTATAAGTTCAAAATTAGGGACGGCTAACGCAGGTAATGAATGTGTAATTTGACCCGAATCAAACTAACAAATTCACATCACTTTGATACTTGCGTTCGTATCTGTATCTTATTCTTGGTAGGTTTACGATAAGAATGATTTAAATGGGGCATTATGTATTAGATATATTACTTTATTACATTGGTGTATTTGCTTGTTTTAGAATCGAACCTTGGATTTTGGAGTTGTCCTACCAGGACCTTTAAAAGGTTTAGAAAAAGAAAAAAAACATCTTTGTTTTTCACTACATTAATCAAACTGTGTCAGGCAAAGACGTCACCAGGTAATTTAAAAGATTCGGAGCATGGGCCCACAGGTGCGGGAATTTTCGGCGTTTCAGTAGGATATCGATCATAGTTTTCTATTCTCATTTTTCAGACACCAAGTGGGAATACGGAGCACTGTCAGATAAAATCACATCTGTATAGGGATTCATCAAAAGGCTAAACGGCTACCACTTCTAAAAATAAAATAATCTAGTAAAGAACCCGTTATATGTTTTTTTAATTTCAGCTATAATAACATTTAAGTGACTGTTACTGAATTCGAAACGTTCTTACAGAAAACACTTCCTTCGTTCTATTTCGGTATTCAAAAGAAAGATTTTGTATGCAGCACCGTGTTTCGATAAGGCCGTAAATTGTAAGTGTGATACTTAATCTCGATATATACAAATCCTCATAATTTACAAAACGTATTAATCACAGAAAAGTTATACTTACTTCCAATATCGATGAATATAATAACGCCACAGGTTAAACTGTCCGTTGTTTTTTTTCAGCTTCTTTAAAGCAATGTACGTAATCAGTAAACCACTAGAAAATACAAAGTGTCGGTTTCATAACTAGATGAACTTTGGAACAGATGAGTTACTTTTTTGAATAATCCTCTCATCATTGTGTTATTGAAATATATCTAATTTTTATAGACTAATAACCTAAAACATTTTACAAAGAAATAGCCTTTCTACTTGACGTCATCAGTTAGAAACAAGCATGAGTCCAGTTATTTATAAGAATGGAGTTTTGAAATAGAAGCTTTTCGGGCAATCTTGTAATTAGGTCAAAAATCTATTCTGTAACGTGACTTGTGTCTGAATGTCTGTTTGTCAATGATGATATTTCTTCCACCTTCATGGGTCCGGCATGGCCAGGTGGTTAGGGAGCTCGACTCGCAATCTGCGGGTTGCGGGTTCGAATCCCCGTCACACCAAACATGCTCGCCCTTTCAGCCGTGGGGGCGTTATAATGTGACGGTCAATCCCACTATTCGTTAGTAAAAGAGTAGGCCAAAAGTTGGTGGTGGATGGTGCTGACTAGCTGCCTTCCCTCTAGTCTTACACTGCTAAATTAGGGACGGCTATCGCAGATAGCCCTCGTGTAGCTTTGCACGAAATTCAAAACAAACAAACCACCTTCCCGACCAGCATCTCCATGAAAGCTACAGTACAAGGTAATGTAAATAACCCTGCTAGTAGGGAGCGAACTTCTAGAATATTTTATGCCGATATTCAGAAGTATTGTATGGCAAATGACAGACACACACAAACAAACACACCGTCCCGCAATCCCCGTGTAGCCAACGAGACAAATGACGCAGTGACGCAAGGGAATTTTGCTAGTAAACCAAAGATCTAATTACTTAAGGGGGAACGTGATGAGAATGTAACTAAGTTTATGATCAATAGATTTATCATACACAATTATGCCCCGCCCCCTCTCTAATTGGCCCTACAGGTAATGTATTATTTCACTAAGTAACAATCGTCACATAGAGGGGGGGGGGGGGCTTTAGATAAGCAGCTGAAATGTTTTCATGGGATAAAAAAAAAAATTCTTTTGACTGATCTTTTCCAACATTGGGCTACAATATATTTACCGTTGTCTTTCACAATAAATCCTCTAGTTGTACTTAGCAGACATTCATAAAAGATCTGACTCGTATGAAATAAAAACATTTTTTTCATACACATGTAAAGAAGTATACACATTATCTTAATTCTTTAACAAAGCCAAATAAATGTTAAAGATATTACATAACCCAAGAAGTAGTACAAAGACTTAGGATCTCCGCCCCATCACATAACCCTAGAAGTAGTACAAAGACTTAGGATCTCCGCCCCATTTATTACCATTCTTTCATATAACCCTAGAAGTAGTACAAAGACTTAGGATCTCCGCCCCATTATCACCATTCTTCTTTTATGTTGATTCCCCATAATATTGACTCGTCGCTTTGATAAATAAAAAAATATCCAAAAGTTTTTACAAAATAAGTTTGTTTTAACTTTTTACACTACATGAATAGCTAAGGTGTTTTTTTTTATCCCCAAACAGTGTTGAATTCAGGGGGATGTACAGGGGGAGGAAGTTCCCCTTTTGCAAACTTCCTGAAATATTTTAACTATTTTATCTTTTTTTACAGACGTTATTTTATTTATTTTTACAATGAGACGTTAACAACGAATTAAAGTTGTAACCATGACTCAGGATTTACTATTATTTCATAGAACACCTAGACCCAACGATTATACAAACGGAATAACCCAAAATTCTGGTGACTTCTCGAAGAAAGGCGTGTTTGATCTTGACAGCTTGCCAATCTCTATCGCTAGGAGTTATATTGTATAAGCTTGTTTGTTTGTTTGTAATTAAGCACAAAGCTACACAATGGGCTATCTGTGCTCTGCCCACCACGGGTATCGAATCTCGGATTCTAGCATTGTAAATCCGCAGACATACCGCTGTGCCACTGGAGGCTTGTATAAGCTAAACATAAAATTATTACCGAATATTATTCACATTTATCGAAGTGTATAGACACTATAAGACGTGTGGACGTTTCTAGAAAAGCTGTTCATGCTTTATAAGCCTATGTGGAAACTATTTGTATAGTAGTGTTTTACGTTATTTGGTTGTTCTGTGCTTTATTTAACGTTGTGATTAAACTTTTCTGTAGTGAAGTTATGTCACAGAAATCAATTCTATAGTTTGCTACAAAGAAACCTAGACTACAGGTAGTGAGTAGTGGTGTTGATGCTGAGTCTCTGGCTCAAATTGAAGTTAAGCAGCCGAGTTTTGGAATTAATGATGTTGATTCATCAACCCCTGCTGCTGGAACTTCCTCACATTCTTCATCGACTTCGGTTAAACACCAGAAGAAGCGGGAAGAGAAATATGAATGGCTGTCTTCTGATACGTCCCTTGGAGGGACGTTTGTAAGTACTGTTGAGAATTTTTGAAAAATTATTTAGATGCGCTACATAGAATAGATGGTGTTTCCATAACAACTCCATTTACCAACTTTCGAAAAGCAACTGGGAATACCGGGAAACTTGACAAACATTCTAAATCCGAGAAACATGCTCATGCTCAAGCAATGCACAAGCTTCGTGAAGAGGGTCTTAAAAGATCGGTTCATACTTTACTTGTTCAACAGTCGACTCAGGAATGTAGTCGTAACAGGGAAGCAATGGCTGCATTTGTAAGAAGCGATAAAACATCTTAGAAAAAACAACAACAACGAAATAACTCATAATACGAAGATGGACATTTGTTTTCTCATCTTTTTATGCTACGACTCTCTGAAGCAATGGGTGGAAAATCAGAGCGACCGTTCGACATACGTAAGCAAAAACTACAGCTTCTGATCTGTTGACCTGCACTGTCGAAGTTCTAGATAATTGTGACGCCTCTGAATTGAATAAAAATTTTACTCTATAATGGCTGATGAATCGTCAGATATCAACAATGTGAGTCAGTGGTCAATTTTGATTCGCTATGTGACTGACTGCAGTGAAATAAAAGAAAATTCTTGAACAATATTGATATAGCAAACATGATTTCGAAATCATTACGAGTTCATTTGAAAGAGAGCTGATCAAAAGGAACCTAGATTATGAGAAAATATTTTATTGCGCTTTCGATGAGGTCGCAAAATTTTCAGACAAAATAAGTGGTGTGCGTAAGAGACTTTCCGTAAAAACCATGTTAGGAAATTCGTTATGTACGTTGTAGGGTCCATATTTTATACGTAGCCTGCGCCAGAAATAAAATCACCAAAGACATATATTTACTATTCCACAAGTCATCAAAGTGTTAACGCGTGCTCCACGAGGTTCAGTCATCAAAGCGTTAACGCGTGCTCCACGAGGTTCAGTCATCAAAGCGTTAACGCGTGCTCCACGAGGTTCAGTCATCAAAGCGTTAACGCGTGCTCCACGAGATTCAGTCATCAAAGCGTTAAACGCGTGCTCCACGAGGTTCAGTCATCAAAGCGTTAACGCGTGCTCCACGAGATTCAGAGGTCACTAGAAGAACCTGAACTACAAATCCCACAATCTGTCGAAGTGTGCTGGATCAGTAATTACGAGTTTGTTCGTGATGTCTTAACTTGTTACTCTCAATTATGATGGCCTGTAAGCACCTACACAAAGATGGTGCAGATTTAGCCTCGTTAGCAGGAGGTATCTTGCTGGAAATGGGGAAACCTGGAGGTTTTGAATGAGGTTTTATCTAATCTAAACACATTTGAGAGGTATAGGGATTCAGTGTGCCCATTGAAATAAAAAAAATTGTTATAGCTGTCGTATATCTCAAAACGAAGGCTTCTGGTGTGCGTCCGAATCTTGAAAATGAGCCAGAAAGTCAAACCTTCAAAAACGTTAAGAAATTAGTTGACACTATGACTTAACAAATAACGCACTGATTCAATGATCAAGTGGTCTCCTTCATCAACGTATGTGCTTCCTTACAAACAGTCCAGTCGATGTGTAGTTTGACATACGATGATGTGAAGACAGGATGTAGCTTCTTTGATGGACTGGATGCTGATGCCCTATGGGCTGACTTGAACTCTTTCAAGTATGTTGCAAAAAGAGCAAGAAAATCAAGATAAGAATGTTGTACATTAATTGTAGAAATTAAACATCGATTATGACAATATTATAAAATTAACTGAATGTTTGACGGTTGTGCCGGTTTCGACTGCTGGAGTTTAGCGATGTTTCAGCAGCATGAACCATATTTAAAATAAGTTGAGAAACTGGATGGAAGAAGACAAGCTTCAAAGCTGCATGATGATTAGTATCGAGGGCCTAATGTACTTTCAGACATCTTGTTGTGAAAGATTATCGACTCATATGCACGGAAAAAACCCAAAACAAACCTACAAAATAAGCTATCTGCGCTCTATTCACCACGGGGAATTGAAACTCGGATTTTAGTGCTATAAGTCGGTAAACTTACCTTTGACCCCCTGGAGGACTGGAAAGTAAGAAGCGTTAAATATGCTAAGTTTACACGTCGCCATTACGATATAGTAGCCTTTAACACTAGTACTATCGTAGCAGGACAGGCGCAGAAAATGTCACAAACCTCTTCTGATAAGTGACGTTTCCAAGTGTAATGGCGACATATAGGCTTAGAGTATTTAATTTACTCTTAACTCTTATTTTCCGGTGATAAACGTCACCCTATTTCTTCGCGTGGGATAAAGAATTAAAACAAACTTATTTTCTTGAACTTTTTTGAGTACTTTTTAACTTAATTATCAAGGTGAAAAGCCACTATTATGGAAAATTTACAAAAATATCATTGATAACGGAAGTCTTTTAGAGTTAGGGATTATATAGAAAATGTTAGTCGTAAACATCTTTCTTGGATTTTTAGGAAGAGAGAGAGAAGGCTTGCAAAAAATATAGCAACAACGTATTCATAGTAGAGATGTCTGAGTACCCGGCCAGATATTAGGCCCCGACCGGGTTTTGGGCTACCCGGTAATACTCGGCTCCGGCCTAGTGTCGAGGATAAAAAACAGCCAAATCGAAACACTTTCTCAATATGTTGGCAAGTGGGATCTGCAACCCCAGCGTGTTCATGTCGTGCTCCGAGACAACGGCCGTAACATCACAAATGCCTAAAATCTAAGCAACGTACCCAATGTGGGATGGATGGCTCATACCCTACAACTTGTGATACGCGATGGAATACTAAAGCAAAAGTCCGTTGAAGATGTACTCGATTGTTGACGACCTACTGTTGGTCATTTTAAACATTCAGAAAAAATGAGAGAGATTCAAATGAGCATAACTCTCGTCCAGCACAAATTAATTCATGATGTGCCAACAAGGTGGAATAGCTCTCACAACATGCTCAAAAGCCTAGTCGAGCAAAAACGAGTCCTGACGATCTATGCCTCTGACCATAACGTCCACACCTTTACTCAATCCCAGTGGTCCATAGTGGAAAATGTTTCTTCCATTCTTGAGCCTTTGGAGCGCGATAAAAGGAATGAGTCGCTCAAACGCCTATGCATCTGATGTAATCTCAACAACGAATACTTCGAAGAAAAATATTTCCGACCTGAAATTCAACGGTCTGCTCACATGGAAAAATTCTCTATTAGAATCAATGGATAAGTGATTCACCTTCTGTGAGGAAACCAAAGTTTACACCGTCGCGACGTTACTTGACACGCGTACAAAGCCCATATTTCGTGACAGAGAAAGGGAAAATCTACGCAAAGGCTAAATTGCTTTCTTTACTACAAGCTCATGATCTCTCTGACCAAAAACTCCCAACTGACAAGTCCCACGATGTTCCAGAATTAAATGACCCCTGGGCAGAGTTTGAGTCAAAGATTCAATGAAAGTAATCCTTTATATTTTTTATTACTCCTTCAGCTTTCTTTTTCCCATTTTTCTTTACCGTTTCTTGCCTTTGATTCCACATTACAAACTATTTACCGTTTCGGTTTGCTGTCTATGAACAATGGTCTCATATTGTACTTGGAAATTTTGTGCTTCATAAAAAAAATCAAAATGTTAGCACAGTTTATCTTCTTTTAAGTGAAGACGAAAATGCCAAGAACTGCGACAATTTCTTGATGATCCCGTTCAAAGAATCCCGATCCGCTCGACTTTTAAAAGTCAAATTAAGCTCGATTACTCACAATGGCCAGGATAGCAAGGCGTTATCTCTCGCACCAGCGTAGATAGCGAACGGGCTTTTAGCACCGCTGGCGACATTATCACACCCGAAAGGTCAAGGTTTTTACCGGACAATGCCGAAATGCTACTGTTCCTCAAGTAAATTTAAACAAATTCTAAAAATACAAGCATTCTGTAAACTGGTGTGCACATTTTTGTTAGTTAATTTTGAAAGTTGAAAGTAAAACTTGAATGTTCTGTTGGTGATTATTCGGTTAAATATAATAAACGTCAATTTTCTTTTGTTTCTAATTTTTGTTTATGTTTGTTTGTTGTTGGGTTTGGGGGGAGGACGAGGGGAGAACCCAGTCCCAGCCGAAACTTAGTGGCCAGATACCCGGGCCCGGTATTCTGCCAAATTTTACTACCCGTGCGTCCACAATTCATAGTTAGTTCTTACGGTCTTTTATTACAGTGCTGTAGTGACTGAAAATTTTAATCAAGCATATAAATATTATTATTATCAGACTAATAATAATAATATTATTGTTGTTATAACAGATACTTTCAGTTTTGACAAATTTACTAAACATACAGACGATCAGTGGCAACGACTTTAAACTTACCTGGTGAAAAACAAAGTATCAAGGGCAAAAGGAAACTGGATAACCAACTGGAAAGAGAAGTCTTCTCGAAGGTTAAATATTTTTTGTAATGCACCTATTTGTATGTGTAAAAACAATAAAAAAATCAGAAATCAAACTGTGTTTTAAGAGGCGTTTTGTGAGCATATCTATATGTGCACTATCGTTCAAGGTAAAGTTTGTAATGGTGAAAATTTATATGTAAATAAATATGAACCCTCGAGAATGTTTTGATGTTTGAACACTTTTATTACACATTGTTATTTGCTTTTAAATAAAACCCAAGAAAGAAGAAAATCGAGTTTGTTTCGCTTTACAAAATTAACGTGTTTTATTAATCGTAGCTTTTAGTGAAACCAAAATTAACCAGTAGATGAAGCAAAAATGCTGAAAATGAGTACACATTAAAAGCTATTGTTAGCATTACTTATTTAACTCCTTACACGGTTAATTAGGACTAGTTTATAATTTTGTTACCTGTCTGATTCGGCTCCATCGACTGATATATTTCTCCCAGTATGATCCAGGTTATGGTAATAACTCGTATTCCGTCCACAACACGTAAGTGATTATTTTCAAAACGAGTACTCAGTTGATACTGAGTGTTTCCGTAAGCAGAAAAGCTTTCTATTGCTTGAAGGGCAAAACCTGTAACATGTATAATTCAATAGGCACTTGGTATCATAAAGTTATTTTCCATAAAGTATTTACACACCACAGTGAAAGTGTTGAAATCAGTCATATATATCGCAATACCGTTATCGGTCCTGGTTGTCAACTTGTTGTCATAAAGGATAATGTCTGTGGTAATAGCACCCAAATGCATTGGGGATATCCCATCTATCAGACAAAATCGAAACGCTGATGTCAATCTAGTCAGCCGTCATGGAAAATCATTAAAAAAATTAATCAAATAAGGGTACGAAGCTGAGTGCTTACACCAACAACATCTCAGCTTCTACTGCCTTTCACTGTCTATAGCCAGTTGTGGGAAGGCAGTTACTCTTAAATTTTTTAAAGTAGAAAAAATTGAAATGAAGCCACCCAACCTTCACCCTTACAAAAATATATTAAATAGAACTATACAATATTGTATAGAACTAAATAGAACTATACATTATTGTATATAACTAAATAAAACTATAAGATATTAAATAGAACTATACAATATTGTATATAACTAAATAAAACTATAAGATATTAAATAGAACTATACAATATTGTATATAACTAAATAAAACTATAAGATATTAAATAGAACTATACAATATTGTATGTGTTTGTTAAGGGGAAATTCCTTCTATTGTGCGTTCTCCCTTCCTCAAAAATTGATATGATTAAATTAATTTTGTAGTCTACAAACAACTTGAAAATAAAATAATGTCTGCATGCATAGAATATTTTATTAGTTAATTGTTAGTGAGATTCTAGAAATATATTACAGAATTGTATACTTTTGGTGGGTTTATAAAACTAAATAGATGGTATATTATATTTTAGTGATCAGATTTGACTGTATTCTGATAAGAAAAAAATATTTTACTTGCAAAAAAAAAAACCTTTACGTATTAACAAAACCGCACTTAATAACCTAACGAACAAAGCTTCGGATAGATGGCATTGCATTACCCCAGTGATATTAAAAAGTGTTTTAGAATAAAAAAAAAACAGAAAATGGAGAAAACTAGTGGATTTTCATGAATTTATTGTGTATTATAAAATAAAAGCATAGTTGTTATCCTGGTTACAAGTTTATTTATGTACATATTGAGTTTTTTCTTACTTATAAAAAGATCATAAAGAAAAATAATAAATTCGCTATCTTAAAATTTTTTAACTTTTTTTTTTCAAAAGAAGAGCTACAGAATAAAGATATTGTTCTGTGAAATGCAACACTTCTGAAACAAATTAGTCAAGAAGCAAGTGTCACTTCTGAAAACCAAACAATTATAAAAGCTACTTGCATGTCTCTGCTCGGTCCTTAACGTTGCAGTTTCTTCGTCTTTGAAAATATCGACGGGATAATTCAATTACTGTTCCCAGTAGTACAATGGCTAACATCAAAGCATGAAATGAGCTGAAATGACGCAGAAAAAAATGATTTAGTCTCAATGATTCCCCTTCTCTGTTGCTATTCAGTGTGCAAAGTTGGAATTATATAAAACCATGTAAGTTTTCGAATGAAAAAGAGAAAACATATGAGTATCTATTTGAATAATGGTAAGTAACAAATATGTATAAAGCTTAACTACTGTAGTACAGTTAGAATCACTAGCTCATGAAATGACATTAACACACACGTGGAAGCCTGAGAACAGGAAATGAGAATACTTATATTAGGTTTCATTAATTCTCTTTACGTTTTGTAAGGTGATTTTTAATATTAGTTGATTGAAGGAAAAAGTAGCTTCTTAAATACTGCGGCTTACGCATGCTCTTTAGCTTTGTTTAATTATCTTTTTGGTCTGATTTTTTTTCGCTTCAAGTTATAGACCATTGTTTGTAGTTAAGGGCAAAGCTACAAAATTGGCTATCTGTGCTCTTCCCACCAAGGGTATCTAAACCCGGTTTCTAGCGTTGTAAGTCCGCAGACATACCGCTGTGCCAAAGAGGGGGGTGTTATTGACCACCAAGCCTATAAAATACCACGATATATAGCTTTCATTTTGATATTGTTACTATAAAAGTTGGATATTGGTAAAGTCCTAATTGATCCATATCAGGTGTGGAGGAAAAGA